GGGACTCGGGTGAGAGGGAGGTGTCAGAGTGAGCGGTGTTAAAGTGACAGGATATCGGGTGTTATCAGTAAAACCAGTGACCGGATATCAATGTGTATCTGTGGGTTAGTAGAGGCGGTATTAAAGTAACAGTATATGAGAACTGTATTAAAAGAATCGATTCGGTGTAAAAGTGATAAGACTCGAAGGATGTTTCAGAAGAGGCGATGTTAAAGTGTCAGGATATGGGGAGTGCACGAGGGTAGGCGGTGTTAAAGTGATATGACATGATGTGTTTATCAGTTGCTTAATAAAGAGAAGCAAATCCGTGAACTCGGGTGAGAATGCACTTTTGACTCCTGACTGATGCAAGACCTCCCCTTTCCACGCGTCTACGGTTCGTATGACACGTGACATAAAATAACAATACATATTTAGCTTTCTTCTGAACGCCACATTTTGGTGTACTTGACCTTTGGGCTCTGAGGGTTATCAAGTGCCCACAGTTTCATCATGCTGCGGCTCAGATTTTTCCCGGCATTTCTTGGTGTCGTTCTAACTAATGCTGTAATACAGTTTGATTTAACGGAAATCGCTGACACGAGACTTTTCTACATTAGCCCCTTAACTCGGCTTTTACCTACTACAAAACAAACCAAGACAACTCTCTAGAAAGATCTATGATAAGCGTGATGATTTCGACTTCTCCACTGTGAATCTCCCATTTATAGATAGTCATACTCCTGCTTTCCGAACCTGTCGTGCTGACACGCCAGTTCATTCGATATCAAGGGCTAAACTGTTTATGATATCACTATTTTGTGCAAGGTGTCGAAAACTAGACATATAGAATTCGGAACACGGTGTGAAAGTGTCCGGATATAAGGTCATTATTATGTAGTACAGCAGGATCGACTATCAGGGTATAATGATATAGCGAGTGGGTTTGATTCTGTATCGGGGAGGGGGTGTTAAAGTGACAGGGTTAGTGACGTGTATCGGAAGGCAGAGAAGGGGGAGGGGTGTCAGAGGGAGCAGTGTTAAAGTGACAGGGTTAGTGACGTGTATCGGAAGGCAGAGAAGGGGGAGAGGGAGGTGTCAGAGTGAGCGGTGTTAAAGTGACAGGATATCGGGTGTTATCAGTAAAACCAGTGACCGGATATCAATGTGTATCTGTGGGTTAGTAGAGGCGGTATTAAAGTAACAGGATATGAGAACTGTATTAAAAGAATCGATTCGGTGTAAAAGTGATAAGACTCGAAGGATGTTTCAGAAGAGGCGATGTTAAAGTGTCAGGATATGGGGAGTGCACGAGGGTAGGCGGTGTTAAAGTGATATGACATGATGTGTTTATCAGTTGCTTAATAAAGAGAAGCAAATCCGTGAACTCGGGTGAGAATGCACTTTTGACTCCTGACTGATGCAAGACCTCCCCTTCCACGCGTCTACGGTTCGTATGACACGTGACATAAAATAACAATACATATTTAGCTTTCTTCTGAACGCCACATTTTGGTGTACTTGACCTTTGGGCTCTGAGGGTTATCAAGTGCCCACAGTTTCATCATGCTGCGGCTCAGATTTTCCCGGCATGTCTTGGTGTCGTTTTAACTAATGTAAACAAAGTGTTGACCATGTTCATTCATGGAATGAAACGGAAATCGCTGACACGGGACTTTTCTTTATTAGCCCCTTAACTCGGTCTCTGCCTTCTACAAAAAAAACCGAGACAACTTTCCAAAAAAGATCTATGATAAGCGTGATGATTTCGACTTCCATACTGTGAATTTCCCATTTATAGATAGTTATATTCCTGCTGCTCTAATATGTCGTGCTGACACGTCTGTTCATTCGATATTCAATGGTATCACAACTTTGCACAAGGTGTCGATAACTGGCATAATAAAACTCGGAATGCAGTGTTAAGGTGTCTGGATATGAAGGAAGTCATAGTGGGGTAGTAATACAGTAATATCAGTCTAAAATAACTGGACACGCGGGGTGTATTTCGGGAAGTAGTCTTTAAATGACCAGATATGAAGGGTTTATCAGGGGAGACAAGCGTTAAAGTGACCGAATATCAGAACATAGTGAGTGGGTTGATTCTGTATCCGGGAGGAGCTGTTAAAGTGACAGGATATGTGACGTGTATCGGGAGGGTGGGGGTTGGTTAAAGTGACAGGATTTGTGACGTGTATCGGGAGGGTGGGGGTTGGTTAAAGTGACAGGATATGTGACGTGTATCGGGAGGGTGGGGGTTGGTTAAAGTGACAGGGTATGTGACGTGTATCGGGAGAGTGGGGGTTGGTTAAAGTGACAGGATTTGTGACGTGTATCGGGAGAGTGGGGGTTGGTTAAAATGACAGGATTTGTGACGTGTATCGGGAGAGTGGGGGTTGGTTAAAGTGACAGGATTTGTGACGTGTATCGGGAGAGTGGGGGTTGGTTAAAGTGACAGGGTATGTGACGTGTCTCAGAAGGAGCGGTATTAAAGTGACAGGATATAAGATGTTTGTCAGTAAAAACAGTGCTAAAATGATATGATCCATGTATGATGAACATGTCAGTGGAGGCGGTGCTAAAGTAACATGATATCAGGGTTTATTCGAAGGCAGTGTTAAAGTGACCGGATGTCAAGGTGTATCTGCGGGTTAGTAGAGGCGGTATTAAAGTAACAGGATATGAGAACTGTATTAAAAGAATCAATGCTACAGTGTCAGGATACGGTGATTCGGTGTAAAAGTGATAAGACTTTAGGGGTGTATCAGCAGCGTTAAAGTGTCAGGATATGGGGAGTGCACGAGAGGAGGTGGTGTTAAAGTGATAAGATTTTAGGGGTGTATCAGCAGCGTTAAAGTGTCAGGATATGAGGAGTGCACGAGAGGAGGTGGCGTTAAAGTGGTAGGACATGATGTGTTTATCAGTATAGACAGTCTTAAAGTGACATAATTCAACAGGTATGTCGGGGATGAAGTGTTAGAGGGGTGTATTAAGACAGATGTCATCTGGTTTTTGACTTCACATACACACAGTCCGTTTTATACGTACAGTAATCACACGTAATTTCTGAAAAAATAACCAGTGCCGTGTTTGTCTCTAGACAGGGAGCTCCAGCTATGAAGGTGATTACATAACATTATTGAAATGCAAACACATTTCTCTTTACACGAATCTACATACTTATGTGCATATCAAATACGACGGAATCGATCTGCTAATAAAATCAATCACAGATAAATTTGATTTCGTGACTCACCTGCCAGACACCATTTTCGTACATTTTCCCTTAAACATTAGATATCAAAAATACTCTTACAACATGGTAATGACGTCACAAAACAATATTGTTCATCGACTAATATGATTTATCTATATATTTTTTTATTATGCAGTCTTTTATTGAATTTCAAATGTTTAGACATAAGAACACATGACGTATAATGTTCACTTTGTTACTAGACAGTGGTATTGTATGTCTGGTGAAACTCGTTAAACAGTAATATTACAAGGACACTATGGACAGCACTGTACAAGTCTATATCTGGTGAAACTCGTTAAACAGTAATATTACATGGACACTATGGACAGCACTGTACAAGTCTATGTCTGGTGAAACTCGTTAAACAGTGATATTACAGGGACACTATGGACAGCACTGTACAAGTCTATGTCTGGTGAAACTCGTTAAACAGTGATATTACAGGGACACTATGGACAGCACTGTACAAGTCTATGTCTGGTGAAACTCGTTAAACAGTAATATTACATGGACACTATGGACAGCACTGTACAAGTCTATGTCTGGTGAAACTCGTTAAACAGTAATATTACATGGACACTATGGACAGCACTGTACAAGTCTATGTCTGGTGAAACTCGTTAAACAGTGATATTACAGGGACACTATGGACAGCACTGTACAAGTCTATGTCTGGTGAAACTCGTTAAACAGTGATATTACAGGGACACTATGGACAGCACTGTACAAGTCTATGTCTGGTGAAACTCGTTAAACAGTAATATTACATGGACACTATGGACAGCACTGTACAAGTCTATGTCTGGTGAAACTCGTTAAACAGTGATATTACAGGGACACTATGGACAGCACTGTACAAGTCTATGTCTGGTGAAACTCGTTAAACAGTAATATTACATGGAATCTATGGACAGCACTGTACAAGACTATGTCTGGTGAAACTCGTGAATCATTATATAAATGTCTCTGACGATATCAAAGATGTCTGTTACAAAAGAGTCCGCCAAATTGGTGTATACTCAGACGTCTAAATGGGAAGCACATATGTAAGAAATCACGTCTTAATAGTATCATCCTTGACAGCGCTGTACTACTCAATCTGTGCTGTTCAAGGTCACCACTTGTGTTTCCTGTAATGATATAGTGGGTTCCAGTTTCATCTTTATTAACTCTACTCCAGAGTTGACCGATTTTCTCACCCAATGCTTTCAAACCAACAGGCAGAGCTTCTCATTTTTTTGCAGTGTAAAAAGATCAAATAATAATTGAACCGATGAAAGTTATGAGTTGAAGAAATTAATAATAAAAAAAATCTTTGACTATAATTTGTTTTTTTTTTCAGGATATATATTACAGTGTAGTAAGTTGACAGGAACATCCGAGGCGATTTATGAGAAAGTTTAATCAACCGCTAAATAGATCGTATCGGTCAAATCGCCGGTCCATTGAGCATATCTCTAAACCTATGGGTAAAACGTCCCTTTACATTCTGTTTCTTCATGAGCCGGCGAAATCTTTTCATTGTGTTGCTATCTCGTAATCCGGTAATTCTACAATTACCACTGCTGTCGTATGGAGAAAAACCGTCGTACACCAGTCTGAAATTAAAATGTAAATACATTCTTTCATCGTTTGTAGATACCCTTTGATGGTCCCCTAGGATTAAATCTAACCGTTTCGATTGGACAATTCACCACACACCCCTGTTTGTTGGTATAATTATCCCACAGGCACACATGTTAGACCATACACTGTCTAGGAACCGTTAGCTTTGGTCGGTCAGATTTTTCGCTCCTTCATTAATTGACCATGGAACAGGCGGCTGTATTCGTGACATTTCTATATTTTTCAACCTTTGTCGGGTTTATACTCTCGGCTCCAGAAAGATCTTCAGAAAAACAACAATTTGAAATAAGATTTATTGGCTCCAAGGCCAATTCTCAAACGGACTCCAATCGACACCATGGTACCCACAAAGTGGCTTTAATCAATACAGGCGCGGAGGATGAGACACGGAGAAAGACTTTTGTGGATGATGAAGGAAATCTCAATCAGAAAAGTACTTATGATTCAACAAATACCGCTGTTATCAACAAAACAGAAGTTTACACACAAAGTAAGACTTTAGATGATATTAACGATACAAAATTGAATTCGACAGAAAGAACATTTTCAGAAAACGAAGCACGTGCTGCTCTTAAAAATGGCCACAAGCCGAGAATAAGAACGCTACGTGATGAAAATGTATTGGCTGAAGCGGACCTGAAAACGGGAACGGATTCGAACCCAGAAAAATCGGTAGATGTGATGAAACTCCGGGAACAGGAACATATTGAGCAAATAAAGCGCCGTGTTTTAGAAAAGCTTCGTATGGACTCTCCTCCACAACTCCACGGTCCCCGACCTGCACTTCCTTTCAAATACCTGCAGCACGAGTATATGAACGATGGGTCGGATGCGAGAAAACGGCGAAGAGCACATCCGAACTTTTACGCAAGGAAAAAACAAGTGCTTGTAACGGGATCAGACGGTAGGTGAAAAACGTATGGTTAAATATCTAAAAGTTTGTTATTTTTCTGTGTGTTCCTTATATTTTATTCATTACTATCATCAAAATATTACATGTTAATATCATACAACATGTTTGATAGTATATAACAAATTAATATAAAATAAATTCGGCAGTATTTAGTAGTTGTCTGTAAGCAAACCCTGTACACAAATATCTAAAACGACATTTTGGAAGTTTTCCGCTCAAAGGGTAGACTTAAAACTAGTATGACCTTGACCTTGCCTTTGCGGTTTACTGATATTCAAGAAGAATTAAAGTCTAGCGGATTTATAAACTAGATTTACACTTCAATAAACGGATTATCTAAGTTTTGTTCCGTCAGGTTCGACTGTCCTTTACTTTGTGGGGTGCGTGACGTAAACATGCACAGGCGTTGACAAAACTGTGCTGCCCAGTCAATCTATTCATGCGAAGTTTCTGATGAAAAGACTGATGTCAGTCGTGATGTTACCGGAATACACATGGTGTCTCTCACCCCTTTCATTGTCATTGTCCAAATTAACGCAACACAATGTTCAAATTCTTTCACAATTTTTGGTTTGTGTGTGGAATATACAATATGTGTATATTTAATAGGAATTTGACAAATTAGAAAAAATTGTCAATTAAGGATCCGACATCTGTGACAGCTGTGTTATTCATTAAACATGTAGTTTTGTTAATAATTTATAAAACATATTCCTTGGTTTATGTAGACAAATGCTTTAAAATTAAAAATATGCCCTCTTGTATATATTGTAAGCGGGGGAAACCAGATTGTCAACCGCATTAATCACTTTGAAATTTTCAGTTGAAATTGATTGATTTGGTTAGTAAACCCTATGAAGAACACTCGGCTTGTTTGCTGTGATATCGTGTTTCTTCACGACAAGAGCACGCGTTGTTCATGAACAACGACCATGATTTCTAGGTAATTAACGAAATTTGGGGCGTGGCTGATGTATAAATAGAACGATGTAATGTTCCAGCGTCAAAATGTGTGGCGGAAAAAAACTTGCTAAAACTCTGAGTTTGCACGCGCCAAATCAACACAGCGTCGCAAAGCTGACCGTTGGACTCGGTCCTTTAAACAGCATGTGATCAGGATATGCCGTGGTGCAGTGTTTCATGCACGCACCGCACGAACTAGTATTTTATTGTGATCAACACTAGGACTTGCGTCATGACCTTCATGATAACGGATTTAGACATTGAAACGTAGACAAACTGTTAAAACTACAAGAATCAAAGATACAAAATAAGGCAATTTTAGAAATGATGACCTCACTGACAAATTACCTGGGTTACGGTGAAAAAAGATAAATGTTACACCGCCATTATCTTATTGAAACATAACGCCAACGGTTATTACTTTATCAAACATGAAAGTTTTTCAGGAATAATTTTGCATGAACTTTGATATGAGCTATCAAAATCTATTTATTTTCTTTAAGTTTATCTCTTGTTTTAAATACATCTTGTCTTGTATTACTAAAGACCAGATTATTGGAATCCTGGAGGTCGAAATCAATATGAGGAAATATTGAAATGTACGTAGGGGATGATCCAAGTGTGACTATTCACTTCATATATATTACCCATATTGACCTTCATTCAAGGTCAAAACAACAAACGTGACAAAATACTGAACTATATTAGAGTGGAAGCGACGAAAAAAGTGATAAAAAGAAAAAAACGTAGTAAAAAGTGAAATGGGGTTTATAGGTGATTTTGTACGAGGCATTAGACAATGAGGCCGAAATGTTCAACACAAGAAGAGATACGTCGATGGGTAACCATGACGACACTCAATCAGTTTTTATTGAATAATTACTTGTATTTGGTAGTTATGGTATTGCCTGTTGGTATGTTTTGGCTCAACCGATTATGGTGTAGGTTGAAAAAAAATGTATCAACAATTTCCATTCAAAAGTAGTGTATAACGAAATGACAAAACAAATGGGTAGGAACGTTGTATTGTTTGATATTTTAAAAGCAGATTGAATGTTTTATTGTTTGAATGCTAAATCTCATGATATGTATTCAACACTGTCATTGTAATTCATATTCAAAAGTTTTTAATTTTTGTGATCGATATTACAATAAAATTGTAGTTTTGTATAGATGTTCCACACTAGGGAGTTCGAGACCTTTTACACTGTGAACCAAAATTCAAGGCATGGTATAGGGTTGGAGGTCACAAATAATGCAAAACCAAAGCATTGCATAACAGTTGTGACGATTCTACCTGAATTACAATTCAAATTAAAATAAACGGCACGTTAATCTCAATATCAATTATAGAAAACACAACTTTAACACATAAAACACAAAATTAACGACACAAATACCAGTTTTACAATATTTAATCAACAAAAATATGATAAAAAACGCTGGTTTTAAAATATAAACGAATTGTTCGATGTGAATGGTAGGATATACAATACTGCTAAGGTCGACTCGTCATACGCCAACATAGGTATGCTAGAGACAATATCACGTTGTTTTAATCCTATATATTATAATCCAAATATTATGGATTTTGAGCCGCATACTGGACACCGGTGCGCAAAATCGAGGTCAGATGTGAAAGCTCTTTTTGGCACGTGTGTAAGACTTTATGTTCCAACCTTAAAGAGCTCCAGAGGCCGGCGGAGAGAACCGGTTAATTTTTCCGATCCCGCATCGCTACCACGCTTCCATGAAGCGAACATGGGAGGACCCTATAGGACGTGAATGGTGTGCTCTCCTATTATATTTGTCTCGCTGAACAGGACTTTGTACCCTGTAAATGTTAACGCGTCCGTTATGAAACACGATACAGCTGAGCACGCACCGTTTACCCCAAATTTTTGTGATTGCTATCAACTTGTCGACAGGTTTTATTGCTAAACATCTGTGGGAAAGATGACAGCACACATGCTTTGTCGATCCTTGTTTTCAAGGACAAATAAGACATTAATCATAAGGAGTAGTCGGGTGCCACCGACATGCTGTTAAGGCTGTTGACTCGCTGTCTGTAGAAACAAGTTTGTGATACTACAATCATCCAACGCTACTGGAAAAATTAATACTTCTCCCCTTTTTAATCAGAAACGCTGTATGATGATTTTAAAATCCTATATTTGGAGTAACACGTTTCTGAGTTCTAGCCCATATGTGAAAGGTTATCGAGCCAAGAGGTCATTGACAAATGTTGATTAACATGCAGTTATATGTACGCGTCTATGTTTATCAAAGATTAATATGAAGCGCTGATTCATTTTGATAATGTAGTTTAGATTGAAATTCAGCAATAATAAATATTGGAAACGTCCTAGTTCCTGCAATATTCAATATTTAGGGCCTCCAATATTAAATATTTGGGGCCATTGGAAAGAATGCAGTTCGTCCATAACGCGTTCGAGTACGATCTCATACTTAAGGGAAATTCTGAAATCCGATAGTATGGAATTCTACTCTGTTCGGGTTCGTAATGTTTCCTATACCCAATTATTGTTATGTGATATCATATACATTACACATTTGTTGTGTATGGTTAGGTTTTATTTGTTTTCGAGAAGAATATTTATCGTAACCTTGTTTGTTTGTTCACCGGAACATTATTTTAGAGACTCGTTGTCTTAGGCTTCTAGTACATACACTATTAACCACGTGACTAGAATAACCGAAAAGTCATTGTTCTTTGTTTTTGTTAGAATATTTCAAATTCATTGCCAGATGTTTCTCTCATTGCTAAAGCTGTGATTGATTGTTTATATATGGCTATTTGTGGTTCCAGTGACAGTCGAATGTACAAACAAGAAGGGTGCCGGATGCTACCATTTTGACGTGGATGGAAAGGTAAACCCTAACGACATCTTTTCAGCGGAGATCTGGATTTACAAGCTTTTCCACCATCATGATCCCCATATCCAAACATTCATTGTATCCGAACTGAAACAAGACAATCAGGGTAGGCGCCGCCCTAAAAACATGGTAAATAGGGTCGAAACCTCTGTAAAATACGGCTGGCTCAAAATAAAAGTGAAAAGGTCGGTCATTCGCTGGCTCCAGAAGCCACGACAAAATCACGGGATCGCCATTGTCTGTAGAAGTTGTATACGAAAGAATCCAAGGACAATATTCAGTTTTAAAAGTGATACCAGGCCATTTTTGGTAATAACGACCAAGAAAGGACACAATGTTCGACATACAAGAAGCACGCCACGCATTTGTACGGAGAGGTCGACAGAGTGTTGTATGAAACCCCTTACCATCAACTTCAACGATATCGGCTGGGACAGCGTAATCAGCCCCGTGTCGTTCCAAGCAAACTACTGTTACGGTTCATGCGAAGGTAATGATATATAAAACGTGTATTCATGTAGAAAATTTAACTCAGTACTGATTATTTCTTGTGTCGACTACACTCGTATAAAAACAATTTGAGGTCTGACAAAATGCATTTTAATGCCAGGTCTTGTTTGCTGATCGTTCACTGAAAGGCCGAAAGGCCGCCTTTAATTCACATTGAATTGCCTGTTGTGTTTGTAGTGACTTGTTTATCTTTTAGTTATCTATTGCCACAGGAGTATGATACAACATTTATTGTATATTGCAGGCCAGCACCAGGCTCACTATAACCACACCCAGATGATACAGGACCATCGGTGGAACCAAGAAGAATGGAACACGATGAGACAGTTGAGGCCATGTTGTGCTCCAATTTCGTACAGCTCGATGTCCATCATGTACATCGTAAACAATGACTTACAGGTAGATTTCGTCCCCAACCTGGTGGCCACGGCATGTGGATGTGTGTGAACAAACAAGTGCTTGCTGCCTTATAGACTGGCTTTGATTGGTTACTTTTGAGTAGGGGTAGTCAGGTACAGTGACTACGATGTATAACTGTGTCCTAGTTGTTGCTCTAATGCTTTAATGTGCAAGTAACTATTTTTGTAGCTGTGTGACATATTGGTGGTCGTCTAGGTGCAGGTGGCTTCAGTAAATGGATGTGTGTAGGGGTGGTGGAGAATGCGCAGGTGTCTGTCATTTGTGGCTATGTACCAGTTGCTCCTATGCTTGCATGTCTAGTAGTGACAATTGCACATGTTGCATATTCACTACGATGAATGGTTATGGTTAGCAGCGACAGCCGTCCATGTGCTGATTTTAATTGCGATGTTTGGCTGAATGTATGATACGGGATGTGTATTTGGCTGTGTTTAGCAGACATCGTGTGTGTCTTTGTGTAGCGACCACCGTATGTAGCTCTGTGTAGCGGCCACCGTATGTGACTGTGTGTAGCGGTCACCGTATGTGGCTGTGTGTAGCTGCCACCGTATGTAGCTGTGTGTATCGACCACCCGTATGTGTGTATCGACCACCGTATGTGACCGGTTATGTCTGTGTGTAGCTGTGCGACCACCTTATGTCTGTGTGTGGATATGTAGCTGTGTGTATCGACCACCGTATGTGTCTGTGTGTAGCGACCTGGGTATGTAGCTGTGTGTAGCGACCACCGTATGTGACTGTCACCGTATGTGACTGTGTGTAGCGGTCACCGTATGTGACTGTGTGTAGCGGTCACCGTATGTGGCTGTGTGTAGCTGCCACCGTATGTAGCTGTGTGTATCGACCACCTTATGTCTGTGTGTAGCGACCTGGGTATGTAGCTGTGTGTATCGACCACCGTATGTGTCTGTGTGTAGCGACCTGGGTATGTAGCTGTGTGTAGCGACCACCGTATGTGACTGTCACCGTGTGTGACTGTGTGTAGCGGTCACCGTATGTGGCTGTGTGTATCGGCCACCGTATGTAGCTGTGTGCATCGACCACCGTATGTGTCTGTGTGTAGCGACCACCGTATGTGTCTGTGTGTAGCGACCACCGTATGTATGTTTGTGTATCGACCACCGTATGTGACTGTGTATCGACCACCGTATGTGGCTGTGTGTAGCGGCCACCTTATGTTACTGTGTGTAGCGGTCACCGTATGTGGTTGTGTTTAGCTGCCACCGTATGTGATTGTGTGTAGCTGCCACCGTATGTTGCTGTGTGTATCGACCACCGTATGTGTCTGCGTGTAGCGACCATCGTATGTGGCTGTGTAGCGACCATCGTACGTGGCTGTGTGTATCGACCACCTAATGTAACTGTGTGTAGCGACCACCATATGTATTTGTGTGCAGCGACCACCGTATGTGACTGTGTGTAGATGCCACCGTATGTAGCTGTGTGTATCGACCATCGTATGTGTCTGTGTTTAGCGACCACCGTATTTGGCTGTGTGTATAGACCACCGTATGTAGCTGTGTGTAGCGACCACCGTATGTATTTGTGTGTATGTGACTGTGTGTAGATGCCACCGTATGTAGCTGTGTGTATCGACCATGTATGTGTCTGTGTTTAGCGACCACCGTATTTGGCTGTGTGTATAGACCACCGTATGTAGCTGTGTGTAGCGACCACCGTATGTATTTGTCTGTAACGACCACCGTATGTGACTGTGTGTAGATGCCACCGTATGTAGCTGTGTGTATCGACCATCGTATGTGTCTGTGTTTAGCGACCACCGTATTTGGCTGTGTGTATAGACCACCGTATGTAGCTGTGTGTAGCGACCACCGTATGTATTTGTCTGTAACGACCACCGTATGTGGCTCTGTGTAACTGCCATCGTATGTGTCTGTAGGAAGCGATCAAAGTATATTAGCATGTTGTCACTATTTGACATAATGATTACGGAATCACGTGTGTAAGCGAACATTATATAATTTCAACACGATTGTTTAAACACTTATGGTAGGGTTAGGTTCTGTGTCGTTATGGACAGTAGATTTTCACTACATTCCTACATCTATTAGAAATCAATAGGGCAATTTAGCTTGTACTACAGTAGCAGGTAGGTGTCTACCTGACTAATTATTTTCTATGAATGCAATTGTGTTAAGATAAATTGCTTTGTTTTAACCTCCTTCCTCATAGCCCAAAGGCCTACAACAATGAATGTCTTTATGGTACTATGTAAATGGCTTGACGTCCTGCCAAGGGCACAGTGATCAAAGTTAGTTTGTTGCTTTGGGTTACCAAGTTACCAATTGACATTGAAAAAACTATCATAATGACAAAGTAAGTGATTTCAATGCTCTCTGTATACTGTAATGAAATGACGATGTATTTTTTTTTTTGGTAGTGCAATGCACATTTTGTTTGCGGACATGACTTGAAAGTGACAAGAATTCATTCAAATTCTGTAAGGCGTAAGGTGGGTCAAAGCGAAATTATTTGTATGACAAACATTACAGGCTCAATGAAAATATCTCTTATTTCATAATTTCACATTAAATTGAGAATGACCGAGATGGTTCTAGGTGAATATCAAGGACTGTTTTCAACTGTAGTTATGTGTGATGTTGTATGTCGACGATAAAATGGCGATTAATACTCCGATAAAATATAACTGGTGTCTCGGGGTCAGATGACATCATGTAATATTTATGTCTGATCAATATTGTGTTATCAGGTTTTATTACGTAATAGATGTCACAGCTTTCATTGTGTAGTAGATATTTAAGATAATTTCGTGTAATAGATATTTCAGATAATTTCGTGTAAAAGATATTTTAGATAATTTCAAGCAAAACTATTTAAGATAATTTCGTGTAATAGATATTTCAGATAATTTCGTGTAATAGATATTTAAGATAATTTCGTGTAAAAGATATTTAAGATAATTTCGTGTAATAGATATTTAAGATAATTTCGTGTAATAGATATTTAAGATAATTTCGTGTAATAGATATTTAAGATAATTTCAAGCAAAAATATTTCGGATAATTTCGTGTAAAAGATATTTAAGATAATTTCGTGTAATAGATATTTTAGATAATTTTGTTTAATAGATATTTAATGATAATTTACAAAAATATTTGTAATTTCGTGTAAAAGATATTTGATAATTTGGTATATTTAAGATAATTTCGTGTAATAGATATTTAAGACATTTTACAAAAATTCAATGCCTGTGAAGATATTTAAGATAATTTCGTAATAATGTAAGATAATTTCGTGTAATAGATATTTAAGATAATTTCAAGCAAAAATATTTCGGATAATAAAAGATATTTAAGATAATTTGTGTAATAGATATTTAAGATAATTTCGTGTAATAGATATTTAAGAGAATTTAAGCAGGTAAAATAGGTGATAATTTAGGTAAAAGATATTTCAAAACAGTGTAATAATACACAGGTAATCCTTTAATAGATATTTAAGATAATTTCAAGCAAAAATATGCACGGATAATTTCGTGTCAGAAAGTGTAATTAGAGACAATTTCCTTTGTGTTAAGATAATTTCGTGTAATAGATATTTACAGCACAACCAATCGTGTAATAGATATTTAAGATAAACAGTGTGTTAGACACAAGTTCCTTTGTGTTTGTCTCACGGATTGCATCGTGTAGTGTAACGTCTACAAATGTGACTTTGTAACAGTGTTGCCTGTATATTTACACAAGTTCCTTTGTGTTTGTCTCTGACATTTTACCTCATTCAATGCCTATGAAATAGTGGAAATGATCAGTGTAATGTTAGACACAAGTTCCTTTGTGTTTGTCTCTGTCGTATCTACACGCACAACCAATGCACGTCTGGAAGGTGACTCAGAGAAGTGTAAGCAGGTACAGGTGATAGGTGACTCAAAACAGTGTAATAAGACACAGGTTCCTTTGTGTTTGTCTCAGTGGTATATACACGCGCAGTGCACGTCTGATAGGTGACTCAGAACAGTGTAATTAGACACAAGTTCCTTTGTGTTTGTCTCTGTCGTATTTACACGCGCAGTGCACGTCTGATAGGTGACTCAGAGAAGTGTAATTAGACACAGGTTCCTTTGTGTTTGTCTTTGGTATTTACACGCGCAGTGCACGTCTGATAGGTGACTTAGAGAAGTGTAATTAGACACAGGTTCCTTTGTGTTTGTCTTTGGTATTTACACGCGCAGTGCACGTCTGATAGGTGACTCAGAGAAGTGTAAACAGATGCACGTTTCTTTGTGTTTGTCTCTGTGGTATTTACACGCACAACCAATGCACGTCTGATAGGTGACTCAGAACAGTGTTGTTAGACACAAGTTCCTTTGTGTTTGTCTCTGTGGTATTTACACGCGCAGTGCACGTCTGATAGGTGACTCAGAGAAGTGTAAACAGATGCACGTTTCTTTGTGTTTGTCTCAGTGGTATTTACACGCACAACCAATGCACGTCTGATATGTGACTCAGAGAAGTGTAAACAGAGATGACTATCAATGCAATTTGTAATCACTCTTGTCTATTGTTATATTTTGTTTATTTTGTAAAGGTTTGTAAAGGAGAGTACCTTTGCTCAATAAATCATATATCTTCTAGGTTTTTTGTTTGTTTTGAAATGAACATTTTTTGATAAATCACAACTTGCATTCTAGATATGTTCGTCGTTTAATAAAACAGCATGTTTCCTTTTGATATTTTTTCTTTTGTCATAACTATGTATCCTTGTAGACTTGTGTGATTCCCTGATCTAATATTTTCTTGAATTTATACAAGATTGCTGCAAGAAAAAATAGGTATGTCACAACATTGAATAAAGATATACCTAAGTTCGTGAGTTTGTGCCTACATTGATCATTGGAAGATTCACATTCTCGTGTTAACTCATTTTTGCATTACACTGGTGCCTACAATGATCCTCGGAAGGTTCACATTCTCGTGTTAACTCATTTTTGCATTACACTGGTGCCTACAATGATCCTCGGAAGGTTCACATTCTCGTGTTAAGCACATTTTTACATTACACTGGGGTCTAAAACTATTGTAGGAATATTGACATTCTCGTGTCAAGTACATTTTTACATTACACTGGGGTCTAACACAATTGTAGGAAGATTCACTTTCTGGTGTTGACTTTTTCTATAACCCCCTCCCCTTCCCCCTTTTTTTGTTTTTATCATTTTTGTTTTATTAATATGATACAAATTTATTCTACATTTCAATCTTTAGCACAAACAGCAATTCAAACATTCTCTGCTTGTTTTCGAAAACGCCTGTTTGACTAAGTCTGAACTATTCACTATTACTCAGCGAATTGGACGAAAGTCAGCTGTCAAATTGTCAGGACACATTTTTGCCCCTGTATCACAATTTTATACTGCATGTAGGCAATCCAAGGGACTGTCTCATCCATTCCGCCCCTTATTGGCTGTTGATATGGACCAAAGAGATGACTCAGCTCCTCCTTTCATCCCTGTTTATCAGTTCTTCCTACCTTAACCAGACAGAGTCCTTGACCACTTTCAGTTTCCAATTATGCCCTATTTTTAG